TACAGGTGTACTACTTACTAGGTATGATCTAGGGCTTGGAAAGTGTAATTATTTTAAGACCAGGAAGGCGTAATTCAGGAAGACTACTGGCTTGTTATCATTCAGTTCTCAGGCAGGACGTTGCTTTTTCTCTTGAAGACCTGACCCCATGCTATTCATAAACAAAGTACTGAGGAAGATGATGAACACAGTAATCATTGTGAATACTGTCTACAGAGAGAAAAGCAATTGTAGCTTATTATCTCAAAGGCTGGAGAGCTTTGTGTTGTATTGTGTGGTAGTGGTGTACTATCATCTGGTGGGGAGGTGAATGGGAGGTTAGGAAGGGGGCAGCACATTCAGTTTGTGTTCAAGTAATCTGCTGGATAATTATTAAGTCTTTCCTTTAAATGATGTCATAATTCCTTAAAATCCATTTCTTGTTTCTGCAAACCCTCTCCTTCTATCTAGTGAAGGGTGAGGTTGCATTGTATCTTTCCCAGCTTAGTTGATGACATTATACTGTGTGATAAATAAGATTTCAAGTGATTAACAGATTTCACATTGAGATTAATCAATGTCAGTGATAAAAAATTTAGAAAGACCTTAAAAAACCAAGGAACTTGCCAATTCTAAATGCTCCTTTACTGAAAGCACAGAAGTAGGTCATGTGTATTTTTATCGGATCCCGTAAGTGAAACTTCTCTGCCATGTCAATTAACGAATGTCGAAATGGGAATGTTTCTTTGTGACACTTTGTGTAAATCCTTCTGAGAAAAGAGTATCAGTACTTTCTAGACATGCCAAAAAAGTCCATCAAAGAAACCTGGGGCTTACCTACACCCAGTCAGCATCCTATGTGACATGCACAGATGCACCCGAGCTCCAGCCTCCAGGGCATTCCTTGGATCACGGCCCCTTGCAATCTACATGAAACGGTTCAGAGGGGTTGACTCACAGAGTTGGATCTGTCGTGGGACACCACGGTCCCCATCAGCGTGGCCCCCAAGAGACAAAAATAATTGTTGAAACAAGAAAGAAGCAAACAGATTACACCACTTTTTAAAAAGTCAGACAATGTTCCCATTTTCTAATCAGAGCAGTGATGTTGGGCAACGTGGTGGGATCAGCTCCTTTAGGGCCCCGTGTTGGGCTGTTGGGGGGAGGAAAGTGTTCTATCCTGCAAGGCCTGGAGCGTGAGGGTGTCTACTCAAGTACATCGAGTGGGGGGCAGACAATGCTGAAGTAAAGAAGAGCTGTGGTCTCAACTGCTTCTTCCACTTAAAAGTTTTTTTTTTTTTTTTTTACTTTGTAGGCTGTTTCTTCTTGGTGTCATCTTTAAGTTTTGTATTTTTTTACTTTTCTTTCTAAAAATTTTCCCCCCATGCAATTTATATCTTCCAATAACTCTGTACTTTTCTTTCTCTCTCTTATCCAAGTATGGTAGCAGAATTACTTGGATCTCTTCTCTTTCCTATTTTGTATTCCCCCATCATTTATTTATTTTCTTTTGTTTGGTGTTTCCATCTATAGGGGGTTTCACAGTTTAGAAATACAGCAGCTTAGGTAAATTTTATTTCATTTTGATATTATTTCGTTTAATATTTTATTTATTTCAGTAATTCATTTAATAATGAACTTAACACTTCAACTTATTGCATATTCTACATTCTTTTCAATTTGCAAGCATGTTGGATTTTTGTGGAAAAGGGCAAAAGAATCTAAATGATCAGAGAGGTAAAATTTACTTTTGCGAGAAGAAACTTGAGGTCCGCGGCTTATGTAAGCCAGTAGGAAGAGGTTCACATGTGAGCTCCCTAGCAACGTTTTTACAGACTTGCCTCCAGGGACTTCAGATGATTCGATACCCGAAAACCTTGCAGGAAACTGAGCAGAGTGTTTCTCAAGGTCTAATGATAGCTTAATTCAAGTCCCATTATGCTCAGCATACGTAAACTATGGAGTGACTTAAGTGAAACATACTTTAAAATGATACCTTTCTCTTTTGCCTAAAAGGCAAAAATAAAACAAAAGTCAAGTTCATCTTTGAGTGAATAAATCAGAATCTGCTACTTCTACGTTTTTAACATGAGGAAGTAAGCTGATTACACCCACACCAAAGCTGGCCGATGCACAATTTCTTCTCAAAGTGAATAATTTCCTTAGTCTTCACATTAGCTTTACAATTCCCAAAAGGCTTACGTGTCAATTTTATCTCAATAAAGCTAGGAGATAAAAAATTCCCAAAGGGAAATTACTTGCTTTAAAGATAAATGTGTAGTTTTACAAACAGAAATGGACCTTTAAGTTTTCCAAAAATATAATTATCCTACAATGATCATTTTCTTTGAAAAGCATTCTCTTGTGAAATTTTTGTTCACACTGATAATTTTTAATATATAATTCTTTATTTTCTTGTTGCTATGCTAAAAATTTCATAAACACTGGAAAGAATAAAATTGTCATTTAATAATTATTTACTCTTATTTAATAATGGGATTACTTTCTTATTGTCTTAAAAGTGACTTCTTAAGACATAAGATATTTTGCCCAGATCTGCTTGTAATTACTGTAGATATTTGTAACCTAAGTGCCTGAAATTTTCAGGCACTTATAATAATTACTTATAATAATACATAAATAATTGAAGACTAATACAATTACTTAGGCCTGGTGAAAATTAAGATTTTTATTGATCACTGTTTTATTTTTAAATTGCCATCACTTCTGGTTTGGCCAGAAGAAATTACAACCCAAACAAACAAAGAGTCTGGAAAATATATGTATTTTTCACTTAATTGTTCTCACCTTGAAATTTTGGAGCAACCCAAGAAATCATTTTTCTTTCTGAATTGAATTAGTCTTTTTTGTTTCTCTACTAGTTTAGGAAGCTCTAAAGAAAACACAAAACAATAGAAATTAGGCAAGGAATAGCATAAATTGGGAATTGTTATCATTTTGCTAAATTAAATGACCTCCAAAATCTTCACACCTTTGCCCTCTCCCCAGCTCCCTAGCCTCCCTATACTGCATGACATACACAGAATTCTCAGTTCAGTGAGGTCAGCTCAACTGAGGTAATAAGCATCCTAAAAAGACAGCGTCTATTGCATCTGGAAAGAGTGCACATACATAGGAAAGAGGAATAAACAAAACAAAACAAAAAAAACACAAAAAAACACTGCAGAAACTAATAATAAGTACACAAAGTACACAAGTGTATTTATTACATTTTGCAAGCACTTTGTTCTACATTTCAAAAACGCCACCATCGAGCTGTTGGCACATTTATGTACAAAACAGATTAATTGTAATGCCTGCTACAAAGCACTCTTTGTGAAAATACAAACTCTAATACCAGGAAAAAAAAAAGCCAAAAGCATCAACATCATTACATAAGTTTAAAAGACAGTTTTAAAAATCATCACAAACTGTTAAGACACAGAACTGAAACACTATAATATAGAATTTAAAGAAGCCCATTAATACTTTTGCTGAATATCTGTAATACTGCATATATCAGAAAAATGAACCAGTAAGATAATCTACGTGTAAAAAAAGGAAGCAAACCCCCAAATTAATTAAATAATACTACCGAATGCATAATCATGCCACAGATAACCCTAGTAATACCCCGCTACCTACTACAAGAACTTGTAAAATTATGGATGATGCATGACTAGTCGTTGTACAAAGATTGTTTCACTCGTAAATTTTATTAGAAATGCACTTACACTGAGAAAAGATTTCACAATGGTCAAATCAGTGCACAATACTACCTAATTTTTATACACTGACAAAAATGTCTTGTCAGGCTACATCATTTTAAAAGACACTTTACAGCATTCTTGTAGCATTAGAAATAATCAAAAGAAGAGTCATGGTTAAAACAAACACCAATTTTGGTCCAGTAATACTGATTGCTTTTTTTTTTTTATTCCTTTGATATAGGTACTTCTTATAAATGATTATGAATGAACATTTGGTTAAAATGACTTACTTCAAATAAAAACACAGATCTATCACTACACTTGGAAGGGATACATTCTAGAGTGGCCTCTGACCACACTTTAAAAAACACTACAGGTAAACCAACATAGATTGGAAGGCTGCAAGCAAAGCTATTATATTAATGGAAGCCTTTTCAAATATATCATACACATTGGGGGGGATAGTTTACAAAGGTGCAATCCATTAAAATGTTTTAAAGTAGGTAAAACAACTTCGGAGGGGTTACTGTGCTTATTTCTTAATATACCACCTTCATAAAGGTAATTAATGTTCCACATTAGCATATTAAAAGTTCCAATCCAGCCACTGCTTAAATCACAAAGAGATCATTCTTCAAGAGTTCACAGTAGTTATTTCCATGAAAATTGTCTCTATACTAAGCTTTAAAAGGTAAGTCTGGTGTCACAATCTTAAAAAGGCAACTAGCCATGCATTAGTAACACTGTTTCTACGTGCTCACAACATAAACAGGAGTAATCAGAGAGAAATACCTTTTAAGTACATCAAGAAAAAAATACAATGTTAACAAAGATAAGAAGCACTTTTTTTTTTTAAACCTACTCTTACAAATTTAGAAATTGCACCTTAGATTGATGAAAACATGAACCAGGGCCTGTACGCACGTGGCCGCTGATCTCCAGACGGGATTTCCAGATTTCAAGAAGAGTCATCATGATACCATCTCTGTCTCTTGTTCATAATGTACAATGGTCCCTTTGAAGGTTACCTGTAGTTAAACTAGTTACCGAAATCGAAACTAAAAAGTATAAAAAGCTATTTTTCTTTCCAAAACATAAGAAATAATGCAAAAGGTGTTACGTATTAACACATGGGAAGCGGTTAAAAATCAAATAAATCTCCGCATCTGACAATGTTAGTATCTTCAATCTTACAGATTTATTAAATGAGTTGGAGAAATTTAAAAAAAAGGTAAAGGCTGGATAGGAGCTTGTAGAAGAGATGTGATCACACCAATTTAACAAATTAGGAAATCAAGTGCTAAACAGCAAGGAACTGTGTTCAGGTGAGTCATAAGTCACCCTACATATCATTGATGAGAAGCACTTCCATTTTAGTTTTCAAAAGGTTGGATGGTTGGATGGCCCTTAGTTAAACACCAATGCATCTGAATGGCGGGAGGGGCAGGAAGGGTTTATTTATGTGTATGCGTTGAGCCGCTCTTTGGAGCGAGTCGAGTGGATGTCATGGAGTTCTTGCTCCTCCTTCGACTTGATGTCCTCGTATTTCTGCATCCGGCAGGCATCCTTCACATAAGCCCAGTTGGCCGACAGAACCATAAGGTAGTGAACCTAATCAAAGACAGAAATAATTTATACTGGAAGTCTGTTCAGTGTTGTCAGCACACCTTGCTATCAGGAAAGAAATAGTCAAATTGCATGCTTATGTAGGATATGTGCGCTAGTAAGACGGAACCAAAATCTCTGTGGTAATGAGAACAATAAAAATATGTTATTCCTTCTCACATCTCCGACTATGTAACAGCATCTTCTCAGCTCCCTTTCTTTCAAAATCTCTTTCTCTCCTTCTTTTTCAAGCCTGGAGTAGCCAAGGTTGATTTTCAATCTTTAGGTGATGTTTCCTGTCCATTCTGCCCTCACTTACCCAAACTAACAGACTATACATTTCCTGTTGGTGTATCTACGTTTTCCCATCCATAACAGAAAATAGTCTCTTACACCGTTTGAGTCAATTCTGAATTAATGGGAGGATATACTATTGCCTGCTGTGCAACAGAAAGAGGGATCATGGAAACCCCAAAATTAATCTGTGACTTATTCGTCAAGTTGATTTTCCATAATTTTGCAGTTTCCTTTAGATTGTAAGCTACAAGAGAGCAAGTATTGTGTCATATGGATTTTGTATGTTTGCATACATTCACAATAGCTAGACGAGTGCCATCTTCACAAAGGACACTTCTGATCTGTCTCGAGTAACATAGTTACTCAAGTAATGAAGTTCCTGATTGGACTTGAATGCACTCAGCTATGGGAGCACTTGTTTGTTTTGCTCTCTTTCCCTCACTCCTGGTCCACAGAGATAAAGCAGTTTTCCAAATGATGGCTTTTGATGGGTGAATATGAAAGAGAAACTAGGGGCACCTGGGTGGCTCAGTCATTAAGCGGCTGCCTTCGGCTCAGGCCATGGTCCCAGGGTCCTGGGATCGAGCCCCACATCGGGCTCCCTGCTCTGCGGGAAGCCTGCTTCTCCCTCTCCCACTCCCCCTGCTTGTGTTCCCTCTCTCGCTGTGTCTCTCTCTGTCAAATAAACAAAATCCTAAAAAAAAAAAAAAAAAAAAGAGGGCGCCTGGGTGGCTCAGTTGGTTGGGTGACTGCCTTCGGCTCAGGTCATGATCCTGGAGTCCTGGGATCAAGTCCCACATCGGGCTCCCTTGCTCAGCAGGGAGTCTGCTTCTCCCTCTGACCCTCTTCCCTCTTGTGCTCTCTGTCTCTCATTCTCTCTCTCTCAAATAAATAAATAAAATCTTAAAAAAAAAAAGAAAAAGAAAGAGAAACTAAGTTGTTATTTACTTGATCTGAGTTTTAAAGGGTGGGCAATATTCTTGTCCATAATTTAGTAAAATAGAACACCAACATTTTGATTAGCCAAGAGAGTACACTGAAAGATTGGAGGTAGGTTGGTTTTAGAAAAGTAAAGAGAAACATCAAGAACACAAAGTCAATTCTAAATGGAGACTACTGTGATATGTTAAGGTAGTCAAGAGGCAGTAGGAAAAAAAAATGACAATTTTCACACGGCAACATGGGAAAAGATGCATACCAAGAGGAATACCGAAAAGAATTTTCAGAATGTTCTATTTCCTTTGAAATCCTGCATTTTGTGTAGTGGAAATTGTAAGCTGCATGCAAACAAGAGCTGTGAGTTAGATTCTTGTCCTCTGTCATTTTCATAGTTGAAGGCTTCATGACTACATACATGGGGACCAAACAGAGGACTGAACACATGACCAAATTCACGGGGCACCTTGCTGTGTTGTTTGGAAGATATCAAGTGCTGTGGAGAATGTCTGGCAAGCAGTGGGTACTCAAAATACGTTTCACATGAATGAATATATTTTTAGATGTACAAAAACCTTCCTTTTAAAGCCTGAGAAAATATGACCCCGAAATTATTATTAAATATGCCTGAGTGAAATACTGAAAAGAGCTTCAGCATCATTCTAGTTCAGAAATGGGCACTTTCCAGTAGTCTTCAGACATTTCCTCTGGCCTCAGGGGGACACCAGCTGCCAGGCTCTTACTGTCCCTTGGCAGGTGGACAGCGGTCCCCGGAACCTGGCACGATGCAAGTGGACCCCTTTGGCCAGCATCTATAGAACTTCCTAACGCCTCTGAAAAATCAAATGGAGTAGATTACATTAGTCTTAGTACAAATTTTTACCATCTTTGCCTTAAATTGCAGATGTTTTAAACATTTTGGTAGAGAAGGATTTATCTCAATTTTCTCATCTCTAATACGGAAATAATGATGGTAGTATATTTTGAGTGTTGAAGGAGTTGGTGATGAGGTTAATGACAATGGCTCTCTTATGACTATTGAATGTATTTATGTGCTTAAGCACTTGGCAGTGCTTTCAACAGAGCAAGGCTTAAAGAAGTATGAGCAAATAACAGTACTCTTGGTACTAATATTAGTACCAGGAGCAGAAGCAGTAATTATTGTTATATTAGCCCTGTCTCCTAAAACCGTAACCGTTATCAGAGCTAATGAATTGGAAATACCTATGTCAATCAGTAGTTAGATGTTATTTATTTCTTAAGGAATTTATGCTATGCATATATTTAGAGATCCAAAAGGATGTACTTAAAAATAACATTCTAAACTCTTGTAGTTTGAAATAAAATTTATTTATAAATTATGCTAAATTATAACATAAACTCCTGAGTTTATGCAAAGCACAGATTTCTTAAGAAATACATAGCATCTGAATTTCTATTATCTTAAGATCCTTTTGACAATAGAATCATTTCAAAGTAAGCATTTTTGGGGACATTTAAGTACATTATTCATTTACACGAGTACTTTTCACTAATGTATGCCTAAAGGCCCTCATTTTTACACAGTTTTATACACACACATATGTAGCAAATGTGAACGCATGCTTTATTACACACCTCTTCACAAAAAGTGCTTTGATAGACCTCTATACGTGAGTGTATGTTGCTTGAACAAACACAAGTCCCTAACAATGATCCATCACATAGGAATGTGTGTATGAACAAATGTTTCCTCTTATCTCACAGCCAGGCTGGGTGCTGCTTGGCACCATGAGTGCTTGGAATATCACTGCCCAGAACATGTCATGCTTCTTCAGGGCATATTTTAGCACTGATTTTAGGCTAGGAATATAGAGCCTTTGCTTATTGTCTTATTGTGACCCCTCCAGTTAATGAACCAACATGATCTTATTAAGCACCTTACATTCTGAAATAAAATTCCTACGTACAGGTTTATACAGTCAATCTGAAATGTTGAGCAATGCGCATGAAACTAAATTAACAGAATGTCTGAAAACTCGCTTTAGCACTGACATAGTCATTTCTGTAATTTTTTAAAATCATTTTTAGTAAAACAATCAAATCTCAATACATAAGTGTTTATAAGGTCACTAAAAAATAACTGGTCTGAAATGGCTCATTAGTACCTTACCACTGATTATTCCTAGTTTTATTCTTTTTTTAAAGATTTTATTTATTTATTTACTTCCTTCCTTCCTTCCTTATTTATTTATTTAGAGAGCAGGGGGAGGGGCAGAGGGAGAGGAGAGAAATCTCGAGCAGACTCCCTGTTGAGCATAGAGCCAGCCCTACGCAGGGCTGGATCCCACCGCCCTGAGATCAGGACCTGAATGGAAATCAAGAGTTGGATGCTTAACCAACTGAGCCACCCTGGTGCTCCCCTAGTTTTATTCTTTGACAAGAGAGAAAACGGTCTTATTTTGTAAAAAGTATCCCTTTCACCAACACATTAGAGAGTATATTGGCACTATAAGGAAAGGGATTAAATAAACCCGAATTAATTCATCATCTTTGCATATTGAATTGGCTACAATATTTGTGAAGTTATTGGGAACATTCTAGAGCTCTATACTACCTTACTTTTGTATTATTACTTTGTATACTAGGATACAAAAGTTAGGGCTGGAAGACCTTGGCTGCAAAAACTATTACTGATGCTCTGAGTGTTTGTCCAAGGTTGGTTTTTGGTAGTCCAGTGAGCAAACTGGACTTCACCGTGAGTTACCAAGGAAGAGACAGAATCTGGAACATTGCAGGTCCAACACTCAGTAAAAGTCTGACTTGAAAAACTTGTTCTTAGTATTTCTGAACAAAATTAGATATCCAAGAAATGACAGGAAACTATTGATGTCTGTGTTAAGAAGAATAAATTAATCCTTTTTCCATAAGTGACTCAATATGGCTTTTTTCTGTCCTTAAATAAGGAGGAGAAAAGGATAATGGAAGTTAAGGAACTGGTTAGATTACCTAGAATATCACACTGATACAAACCTCTACGATCCGGAGATGATTTTTTATGTTAATAATGATCTAATATCTGAAACATGGATGAATTTACTTATGTTTGTTAATGTTACCAATATGACTGAGTGTTCTAATCCTTAAACTGCTTACCGAATATTCTCTCTATTGTAACAATAATACTTTTTTCAAGTTCAGCCTTGTTGTTCACTTATTTATTTGCCCATTGTTCCCCGTTCCCCCACTTCCCCCCTTTTTACTGATATTAAAATAAATAGGATTGGGGCGCCTGGGTGGCTCAGTCGGTTAAGTGGCTGCCTTCGGCTCAGGTCATGATCCTGGGGTCCTGGGATCAAGCCCCGCGTCGGGCTCCCTGCTCAGCAGAGAGCCTGCTTCTCCCTCTCTGCCTGCCTCTCTGCTTACTTGTGCTCTCTATCTCTCTGTCAAATAAAATAAAATCTTTAAAAAAAAAAAATAAATAAAAATAAATAAATAAATAGCATTTGTATAGACTTTGGGATGGGGGATAAATGATCTTCTCAACAAGTAAATCACTCTGCCCTCCAAATCGAAAAACCAAGCCTCAGAGCTCGAGGTCTTACCATAGCAATAACTGCCGCCCCAGCCCCAGCAAGTGCCACAATGAACAAGTGGAAGGTCATGTTCAGCTGCAAAGGAAACCACAAAGAATCAAACCACGCATCAGAGTTACAAGCAGAAGGGCGATGGGGACTTCTGCTGTCTTACAAATAAGAACTTCGCACATCTTTAACAAAAGTGCACTTAGGGTACATCCCTCACTCAATCCAAAAGCATTATTACAGTATCTTTTCTTCTGCAAATTATTTAAGTCTTTGCAACCGCATCATTTTAGTATACTTTTATTACAAAGATGAGATCGTCATGAATAACGATGGTTTTCAGTAATATAACTATATAAGGCTACACTATCTTTTTTAATATAACATTAAAAATGTTCTTTTGTGAAAATGATGGTTTCAAGAAAAATATATATTTGTCATCATTTTTACTGAAACAGACAAAGTATCTCATTCATGTTTGTTCTCCAGTCCCCCTACATAACATCACTGTGAGTAAAATTGCCTCGGAGATGAAAAGGGGAAAATTCAATACAGATTTAATGATGTATTTTGCAACCACCAAAATGAAACTAAAATTCGGACAACATAAACAGCTTTAAAAACATTTACCTCAGTAGACTCACACATCCTCAGGAAATTCTCAGAGACGGTACAGATTTTCTTTTCTTCTCCAATTGTCACAATCCCTACATGTAGAAAATTACAGCTTAGTTATAAATGTTTTCAAGAGCCCAGAGAGAGAAAAAGAGTCTTATCTGAGAAAAACTAAGCAAGTTCCATTTTATGCTATAGTATAATGGAAACATTCTCTCTTAGCTTTTATTGCTAGATAGTAATTATAACCAGAATTATGAATGGAAGATCAAAACCATTTAGCCCTCAAACAATTTACAACATTTTCAATCTGAATTCAGTCGGACCCAGCCCCCAGAATCTCCACATTCAGTTGTAGCCCGTTGATTGGTTTGGTCCATTAATGCAGTGGTGTCGGCATCACATGATTTTGATAACTATGTTCCAGACTGTGCTGAAGTGTGGATCTAGATTTATTTTGCCGGTACAAAGCTTCTGTTCGTCTATAAAAGCATATTGCCCAAGGGAGTAATTTTTCTCTGCTAATATTGAAAACGCTGTTATTAGTAGGAAAAAAATTTTAAAAACCCTGTAATTTTGCCATGTTCTCCCTTGCTCCTGTTGGCTTACAGACCAACTGCATCAGAGTCACCTGGGGAATGCTCAAAAACAGGTATTTCTGGACTCCACCACAGAACTGTGAAATCAGAAACTGTGAGTGTTTGCCAGGGGTACTGCATCTTTAACAAGCACATAGGTGTCCCACTGCCACGGATCTCATTTTACAGAAAAGTGATCAAGGTTAGCCTCAGACGGGTCTTGAATTTTTGAGAACTACCGAAGCATTAAACACACATACATAAAGGGGAAAAAAGAAAACCTACAAGTTCTGGGCGAACTAATACCTAAGCTTCTAGCACCGCCTTCTCTTTAATGTCAGTACGTGTTATCTAGTCATACATGCTCACTTTGAGGTACACGGTCAGCTCTCACTCTCTATGGAGCTGCTCCCATTCTGCCTTGACAATGGTTTGTGCAATTATTTTTTTTTTAAAATAATCCACTTGCAGTCCACTGAATGCAGACACGCTTCTCTGTGACCTTGCCTTTCTGCCAAGATGTTACTGGGAGGGGAGGGGGGAAATAAGAAGCCCCTGAGATGTGTCTCATAAACCCTCATTATCGAGAAAGCTTCCTGGTAAAGGCCATGTTTCTCCATGCTGAGCAGCTGCAGACCCCATTCATATAGAACACCCAGGCTCTGCACACATGTCCTTACTGTGCCTTTGTTCACCTTTGCAGCAGAACTCCTCGAAAGCATTAACTGTGTTCGCTGTCGGCCATTCCCTTCTTTTCCAGAATCTACTTAAACCTTTTTCAGTCAGATTTTGCCTCAACCCTCCATGGAAGTCAGCCATGACCTCCACATAATTAAAACCAAGGATGAATTCTCTGTCCTCCATTCCTGGCTGGCTGACCATGCTGGAGGCAGATGCTTGACTCCTTCTCCTTCTGGCTCTTCTTCATTACGTCCCCCAGTCTATGGACCCCTGTTTTTGTCTTTGGATTCTCGCAGGTCCCCTCTCTCTAAGACCTCGTTCACGGGAGCTCCCAGCATGCACACCTGTCATCTTTGTCCCCTGCCGATCTCACCGAGCCATCATCTTTGCATATTGAATGGGCCACAGCTAAAAATTAGCAACAGCTCCTCAATCCATTCAGCCAGCCCTGTGCCTCTTTCCCGAAATCAAGACTCATATACCCAATTTTTTACCCTTGACAACTCTGTTTAGATTCCTAATACGTGTCTAAAAATCAACATCTTCAAAAGCGAACTCTGATCTGCCTTGCCTGCCTCCCTCCCACGCAAGCTCTTCTTTAGGCTCCGGCTCATGGGGCAGCAAGTCAGTGTTCCCCGAGGTCCTGGCAACAACCGCATTCCTCCTTGGATCTTCTTTTTCTCTCAAACCCACATGTCCACCTCTCGGGACATTCTGCAGCCCCAGTCTTCAAAGGACAGTCAGCCCCGGACCAATTCTCCTCACTTCTCTCACTACCAACCCACCTGAGCCACCACTCAGTCACCTCAGGGCTACGACAAGAGCGCCAACCAGCCTCCCTGCTTCTCCCCTTGGGACAAGTTCGGATTGTACAAGAGAAGCAGCAAGGAGAGCAGACAGGAATTGGAGGCATCAGAGATTGCAGCCACGAGCTTTTTCTATAGATTTTTTTTTTTAAATGTCATTTAAGCTGGTTAAGCAGAAGTGACGTATTTCTGGTTTTCTAAGAATTGGTTGTATCTGAACTAGGAAAAACTTGCACCATGTGCACAGTTCCTATTACTTTCATCGTTAAGGCAACAAAAGCCTCTTGGAGGTTTCTGGGCAGTCGAAGCACCACTGCTCAGGGCATCAATTCTTATGGAGGAAACTGCAAGCTAGGGGTGGAGGTAAGCAGAAGGAGTAGGTATAATGATACTATGATTCCTCACAGGGTGATGGGAAATTAACACCCTACTAGGAAATATGAATGCTGAATTTTCAAGTAATTTACCATTTACATTACTAGTCTTAAAGATGATAGAATACCTGAAGTACCCTTTTCTAGCTTCTCTAGTCCACCCACATTCCTTGGCTCCTGGCCCCTTTTGTACATCGTCAAAGTGAGTAAAATGGCATCTCTCTGAGTAAAATGTGCACTTCTTCCGAGGTCCCTCTCCCTCTGACTTCTTCTCTTCTGCCTCTTCCACTTTTAAGGAGCCCTGTGATTACACAGGGCCCTCCTGGATCATCCAGGATAATGACCCCATTTTTAGATCAGTTGATTAGTAACCTTCATTCCATAGGTAACCGAATTCCCCTTTGATGGGTAGCCTAACATAGGAATGCCTATGCAGGGGAATAGCCTAGACAAGAAAAATGTAGCCAAGATTTTGCCAAATAAATTCTTGAATTATTTAACAGAAATGTATATAGTTCACCGATTAGCTGGGACACATGGCTAACCAGACAAAAGATTGCCTACTCATAGTATACGTGTCTAGTTTCTACATTAACATAAAATGTCCTTCTGAACAGAGTGGACTAAAGTCAAAAAAGCTGTTGATTGATAGCTTCATCTCTGTCCTCTGTTCTATCTTGTGCAAATAATGCAACGTTTCTAGGTCATGGGTGTCTTCTCTAGAAAAAGCTTGATGGGCCAGGTCCATGATCTAAGCGTTTGTCAAAGTTTGATTTATTTTACTTTTTTGACGTGGAGATTTTTGTCTTTCAAAATTGAGCAATGCTGACACATAGCAGAAGCTCAATAAGTATTTGTTGAAATGAAATTTTACTGAGAAGGGCTTTATGGAAATCAGAGAAAAGCCAGATGCTCCTGCTACAATGTGTGGATGTGCTGGATGAGAGGGAGGGTTGGTTATAAGGCTGAAGGTGCCCCACCTACTCTGGACCACTCTCTCCCTATGGTTGGCCCTGAGGGAGTTTCATCAAATAATCAGGTTTTAACAAAGCAGTTGTAAATTCTGGATCTAGATGATATTATGGGGGAGATCAGTTTTAACATCTTCTGAAACAAATTTACTAAGACAAAACCCTCATACATTCAATGTCATTAAATTGCTGTGCCTATCACTGAAGGGCAACAGAAATAATTATGAAAGCATTAAAAAATTAAAATTGCTAGTCAAATTATTTCATGACTCATTTTGAAATATGGCAAACCCTAATAGGACAAATCATCTTTAAGTTCCCCGACTTTATGAGCTGCACAATGCCTCTGCTTGCCATTAGATCTGTATGAGGCAGATGCATCTATCACACGCAGGGGAAAGAACAGGAAGATGCAAGTAGGGACTAAGCAGGCATCCCAGCCATTACATGACAGGAGTTCCCATGATGCAGTTCAAGGACCTTGATCCCCTTAGAGCAAAGATACCGTCTAGATGTAAGGAGACAACTTTGCAAAGTAAGGGAAATCGCTTTATAGCATGTTCTTCTCTACCCAATCACTTTTTTGATGACATTAGTAAATGTCTGTACTAATCATAATCCAGACTTGGGGAGGAGTGTCGTTTTCTAAGCCGATGCCCCTTGATAACTTGATTGTGCCTCTACATCCAGGATTCTTATTGAGAGCGTATAATCTGGAAGGCAAATAAATGCCATCCAGGCAGTAGATTCCGTAGGAAGGGCGAACAGAAAGACTTAATATCTCATGTAAAAAGTTGCATGACATCTGAAAAGTGCCCTCTCTTCCACATCATGGAGAAAAGTTAAATTAGAATAAATCTTGATAACTATGTAGTAAATGGTGCTAAGTTTCAAAGGGCAGCTTTAATCCTTGTCATGGTTTACACCTACTATAATTGTGTCCCATATAATATTTGGACAGACTGTACTAAAAACATTGCTTGTTTATCTGAAATTGAAACTTCCCTAGGTGGCCCATATTTTAGCTGGCAACCCTGTCTGAGAGACCAGTCACCTCTCTTCCAGTTTCCACTTTTCAGATCCACAGAACAGGAGGAAGACATTGACGGGGAGGGACTAAAGTCAGAGCCAAATAGCTGTTCTCTCATGACCTCCAGCAGCTATTGCCGATGCGTTCCCTTCCTGTGTGTATGTGGGACATGATTCCAAGATTGAAACCTCTCCAGTGGAAGAGCTATCCATATTCCCTCTGTGGTCTTCTTGCCAAGAACTTCATCCACAGAGCAGCCCTTGCTTTTTATTAGATCAGGCAAAGGAGGCTTGGGGCTCCAGCTTATGGGATGGGGAGGAGGCCATAGCTTTGGAGCATGCGGCTGGCTGGTGTTGGACTGATGCACTGTACGCCACAGTCTATCTACAGCATCCCCACTGAGCCCCACAGCCTGCAGGCACCACCTACAGAAACGTTCTCCACTTTCCAGAAGAATCAGGAAACCTCAGAGAAAATCACAGGGAGCATTCCCAGATGTTCATGCGGTAGATTTTAATAGTCTATGAGGAAAAAATCCGCTCAAACATGTGGATCTCCATATCTTATGTAAATTTTGTAGCTCCCATGTTTTTTCACAGATGATGGAATAGAATTCCGAACAGGCTGGATGAGATTAAATCCACTTCTTTGCATTTGTCTATCAGCAGCACTTGCAGGCTGATGTGTAATTACCACAGACTCTGCAATGAGGCTGTTGGGGTTTGAATCCTGGCTCTGTCACCTCCTAGCTGTATAACCTTGGGCAACTCATTTAACCTCTCTGTGTCATTTATAAAGAGGATAATGATAGTGTCCACCATACAGAATTGTTGTTAAGGATCAAACAAGTCAACATGGACAAAACAATTAGAATAGGGTCCGTGTATCACAAGCCCACAGACACATACGAAACTATTTTTATCACGTGAGGTTTTAGCGCTAAAAAAAATAACCAAAGAGGGCTGCCGATTGGTTTAACATTCTTTGATTTTGTTATTATAAAATGCTAAGTTTTTCTGCTTATTTTGGAAGCCAGTAAAATACATACTTCTTAGGTGATCTTCACACTAGACTTCACAAATCTTATATTTGTATGGAAGAATAAGAGTGGATACACAAGCATCATAGCAAGTCTGGACAAGCGCAAAGAAGTCGGGACAAGGACATTATAATTTCATCTTGACAATACCAGGAAAGCCAACCTGATGGCTTGTTCAAACATACACGTTTGTAGATTTCATGCTGTGATATCTACCTCCAATCAACCTTCAATTCCTACATATTTAAATTTAAAAAGGATGTCTTCAAAGTGAATACTCTGATACACTTCTCAAGTATCCATTTCTCATCAAGTCATGATGGTTCCAGCGTGATCAGCAATATTTCAGAGGCAGTCACTGAGGTCAAAGAGCACGAGGCCTCGTTTTAGTTAGAGGTCCACCTACCAAACTGACGAAGGTCCAAGCAGAGATTGGCTCCCTCCACTAAGGTGGTGTTTCGGCAAATGGTCCACAGATTAAAGTACATGTAGACGGGCAGGGAGGTGAAAGCCGTGACCCCCAGCCAGGCCAGCATGAAAAGGTATGTCAGCATAATAAACTGCAACAGAGAAAAAGTCGAGAGAGAAAACATGTAATCTACTAGAAAAGAAGAATTTTGCGACTAATTTACAAAATCCAATTTGAAGTGTTAAGTGCCCTCTTGCACAGCTTGTTATCACAACACCGTGGGAAATGCACCACAGGAAACTGAGAGATGCTAAATAACATGGGTTCTGTGAAGAACCTGCTGGAAGGAAACCCACCTCATGGCAGAGGTGCTCAGCAACAAAGGAAGAAAGAATCCATCTGCATCGTAATGTCTGTTTCATTCATGTATTTGTCTCAAAAATCTCACTTCACATTTTTTTTTTAGACTTTAGAACATAGTAACTGGTATATTTACAGGGGATTCTGCAAAGTTCAAACTTTGTCAATAAATTTATATTACCACTAAATGAGCACCATTCATACCATAAATATGGAAGCATAAATATAAATTATGTTTATATTTAATACTATAAGTGTGGTAATTCTCAAGTCATTTTAGTATTAATGATAAAAGTGCACACTTCTCTTTTGCAGTGATCTGTGAACTTTAAAACCTAAAGCCTTCTTTCATGAATATTAATTTTATTTTTGCTATAGAAACATAGTAAAATGTGATACTCAGTTTGAAAATAAAGGTTTTTTTTTTTGCTTGTTTCAGAAATATTTTTAGTATTTATAAAATGAAGAAAAAGGCTGTTAATGTGCCCATATACAGTTGAATAAGAGACTTAGTTTCAGCATTGGTTAAGTGGATTTTTAGTTCAAGCGTGACTTAGATGCTGACTAAAAAGACAGATGCATATATTGGTAGATGGATGTAGAGCTGGTAAAAGATTGATAGATGTATTCATGTTGCTTCACATTACTTATCAATGATTTAGTCCATATTATCTACATATAAAATTGTCTCCATAAATATACACCTTGAATTGCCTAAGCTAACACTTGCATTAACAACTGTATTTCAGAGGTAACTGAAAAAGAACAGGTGTAAGTCACAATACCCTGAGGTTTAAGTACAGGCTTGAATGCACACGTTGATATAAATTGATTATATCTCTCAATGTGTCACTGGATTCATTAGCATATTTCCCACGATCACAAGAGTAATTCATTATATGAAGTGCCCACGTAGATAAACACCAACCAGAAACAGATGATAGGCAGGAGTTGCCACATTATTCTGTCACATGGTATTTTTTAATTTAATTTGACTTTTTATTTAAATTCAATTTAATTAACATACAGTGTATTATTAGAATTATTTAGTGATTCATCAGTTGTGTACAAGACCCAGTGCTCGGGGTGCCTGGGTGGCTCAGTCGTTAAGCGTCTGCCTTTGGCTCCGGTCATGATCCCAGGGTCCTGGGATCAAGCTCCGCGTCGGGCTCCCTGCTCCGCGGGAAGCCTGCGTCTCCCTCTCCCACTCCCCCTGCTTGTGTTCCCTCTCTCGCTGTCTCTCTGTCAAATAAATAAATTCTTAAAAAAAAAAAAGACCCAGTGCTCATTCCACCAAGTGCCCTCCTTAGTGCCCATCACCCAGTTACCCCATCCTCCCACCTGCCTCCCCTCTAGCGACCCTCAGTTTGTTTCCTGGTGTTAAGAGTCTCTTATGGTTTGTCTCTCTCTCTGTTTTTCGTCTTATTTTTCCTTCCTTTCCCCTATGTCACATGGCATTAACAAATCATACTCAGATAGTAGAGACTGAAATCAAGATTATCCCTGAAAAGTAGCGAAAGAAGAAAATCACTACCGTAGGAACTGTTCTGCTACAATATCTGGTTCTTCTCATTTGAATCCTGTATCTGTGAGTAAGACTATAGCCTTCTCGGCCATCACTCATGTCCCTGACTGTAGGATTAACAAGTCATCTTCCAGGAAAACACAGAAAACATGAAAGAAGAAAAAAGCCACGAGAGAGTTTTTAGAACTACACTCTTGCCCACTCTACAATGGTTGATTCATACATTTATTCATTCCTTCAATCCACAAATACCGTGTTAGCAACCATCGTGCATTAGTTCATGCTCTATGCCCTGGTGATGCATAGGTGGGGACCTCAGTTTTCTGACTGCAAGGAACATTTAGTTTGGTGGACCTCATACTTCTACTAAGTGAGACACCCTCCCAGGTAACTCACATAGCAGTATGTTCTCTCAATCTTCAGCTTTGTTGTTTATGATTATATTTTGTACATGTCCCCTAAAGGGATATAATTTTACTTCCCTTTCTTTCTCCCAATCCAACTACCCTTAACTATATCTGCAAATCAAAATTGGAAGTGGGAAAGAGATGTGTTCTGTGTGCATATGCATTTCTGCATGTACCCAATGATGATCTGAATTTGCATCCTGAGAGAGACCCACTCCAAATTTTATTACCCCTCCTTCCCTCTTTATCTGTGTATACAGTGTATTTTGAGTTCGTGCACCTTACAGTATGACTTGTTTTAAAAGTGGCATTTTCTGAAAGATTTCCTGATGATTGTGCTGTATTTATATAATCAGACTCAGAACATGGGATGATCAGCACATGTGAACATATGTATAAGGGTGAAATCGTATTTTTTAAAGATTTATTTATTTATTTGAGGGAGAGAGAGAGAGCACGTGCGTGAGCGACTGGGGAGAGGGGCAGAGGAGGAGGGAGAGAGAATCTGAAGTAGACTCCACGCTCAACATGGAGCCTGACGTGGGGCCTGATCCCACCACTGCAAGATCATGACCTGAGCTGAAACCAAGAGGTGGACACTTAACCGACTGAGCCAACCAGGTGCCCCTGAAATTGTATTTTTAATCCTTTAAACATACTCTCTTAGCTCATACAGCTGTAGGATTCTATTTGAACGTGTCTGATATGTAGTCCTTATACACCAAAAGCTAAGTTTCTATAGACACTTGGTTCCCTTCTGAGTTTCAAAGGCACCTTCTAGAAGACTTTTGAAGAGAAACAGTAGTGTATTCTGGCTTAACTTGAACACCTCAGGTCACGTTTTCAAAATGACAATACAGAATAAAATAAATACACGGAATGAAACTAAATCTCTTATTCAACTCTATTAATTCCTTTGGTGATGAGTTACAGAGAGACTTTATGGTTTTGGTGAAACCTCAAACAAGTGAAACTCAATTCTCAGAAGACACACTAAAGTAACACTTCTGAAAATTGGTAAACTTGGTGTCACTGTCATGTTAGAGCCTGTGCCATCTTTATTAAAGTTGTGTTGTGATTAATATAGAAATTACTGGGATTAAGGGTAGGGAATTCATACAACGAATAAGAAAAGAGTCAAGATAAAGCCAATGAGACCTGAGATCAAACCTGTCTCCTATAAACTGGCAAGTGTCATAGGATTTCAGAAACTCGGAACATGATTAAACACATACTTTTTAATAACACTGCTTAATTTCCTCCCAAATCTGACTTCCTGTTAGTCTCTACTCTGCAATACTAATGGTTGGAGAGTGTGAAGAGCCAGCATCTGTCCTAGCAATGGCCTTGAACTATGATTCGGCAGACATATTCACACCTTTAGGTCCAAGATGAAACAAAGCCTGGTCTAAAAATACTAGAAAATAAAACCTGTTGAATATTAACTTCTTTAAATAACTGAAGGAACTGGAGTAAATATCTTTTACTGGCCATTTACTCTTTTAATATATTTAAGCTTATATCACTTTTAGAATTTTTTTGTCTTGCTCAACAAATACTTAATGAGGGCCTAAGATGTGTTAAAGTATATCCAAGGATTTCAGTCAGAGAAAGCAATAAACACTTCCCCCTTGTTTTTCTCATCAGGGGAAATATAAATATTCCATGTGGACATCTAGACCGTATCTGGCCTTAAAACACACTTGATTGTCTACGGTAAACATTTTGTGTGACTCTACCAGAGAGAACGGGGAATATTTCCTGGGTAATCTTTTTTCTTCTTCTTTTCTGGAATTGGAATGAAGCAAATCAACAGAGGCAGTCTGGCTGCTGGCTCGGCACTCCTCTGTTCTCATGGCCTTACGCACCCAGTCTAGGTAAGGTCTGCTGAGCCGCCATGTATCGATAAGCATGCTTCACGAACGAGTACCCATTCACTTCTAACACTGCTAACCTGTATGAGTTGATAAAAATCATTTTCCGTTCTTTGTCTCTATTCTGTAAGAGGGTAGAGACGGATTGATTTATCAAGCACCAACATGCTACTCACCGTGTCCCTAACCTAAGTGTCACATTTATTTAGCAGTAAAGGGGGATTTATAGCACACTGATTAAAGGCACAGGCTTTTGAGCTGGATGGAGTCTGGCTGCTCATTATGCTGTTGTGTTTGCCTTTGTAAAATGAGAATACCTGCTAAATTGATCTTACGTGATTTAGTGAGGCTGGAGAGAGGTAGCACATAAAAATCATTTGGCACAGAATCGGGCTTGTAAGAAGCACAGACAAAATATTAGGTATTTTTATGCAAGACAGCATTATTGTGACAACTGCCACGACTATAAAAATATATGCTTTGGCTGAATGATAGGACTGTACGGAATAAAGGAATTAGATTTCATTTCACGTGTGGAGAAAGTAAAAAGAAGAAGTTCTTGAGTCTGGGAAAGTTATTCAAGGCGGGCTCCCACTCGAGGAAAAGGCTCTAGAAAGTCTGGAAACCACCCCAAAACTGAAGAAATCTTGTTAATGGAACTCCTCGGAGGAAAAAAGCCCTTTTGATTAACATTTTCATTATTTGCAATTGTAGATCTCAAAGCTAATTTATAGTCTCAAGAACAACGGACATGATACGGCGGCTTGAAGCACATTGCCTTGCACAGCTAAAAGCCGCTCAGAAGTCCCCGGGAGAGTAATCAGCATGCCTCTGGCTACATCCTCTCATTCTTGGTTTTCTTTCTGTCCCGGGGATTTCTCAAAAGCTTCTTTTGAAGGTGTTGTTCACTATAGAATGGGACTTATAATTCAATAGGTTTAGATTCAAAGTGGACTGGAACACTTTGAACTGTGTGACTGCCGCT